TATTGATCTTGTCTTCATGGCTCATCCAGCTCAGCAGGATGCTTCGTTTCACCCTTGCATCATAATCGAAGAGTGAGTTCTTCTTCACTGCTTCATTTCAAATTCTTTTACTTCTCTCTTAATCTCTCACAACGAACACCTAACCTTCACATTTCTTCGGGAACTCTTAACCGACCGTGCTGATGTTACACAGGATGTTAGTGAAGTACTATGGGAAGGCGTCTCATGCAGCTGCATACCCTTGGGAGGGAGTGAATGCCCTGGATGCGGCCGTCCTGGCCTATAACAACATCTCTGTACTCAGACAGCAGCTCAAACCAGACTGGAGGATTCATGGTGAGGAAAAGCTGTGGTAGGGTCACTTAAAGCTTCAGACTTTAGTGTCGACCTTGGAGAAAACGAGCATCTCATCTTTGATCCATCCTAGGAGGAGACACAAATCCCGGAAGGAAAATAAAACCCTCCTCTTTTCAGTGCCGTCAGGTGCCTCCTTATCCTTTACTTCCTCATAGTTTATTAGTTCATCTAGCCGATAGCTAGCTCATCATTATCTGTCTGTCCATTCACATTCACAGGAACTGGTACGCCTCCTTCAGTAGGGGTCAGAACTTTCATACAATGATCACCTGATAGGTCTTCAACTAAATTTTGTTTGTTGTTTGTTTGTCGTTTTAAAGGTGTTTTTCCATTTTCATACGATAACCTCCATGCACACTGCTTATAATTTCACCAAGTTCTCCTAGAATCATTAATATGGTTTATACTATCACATGCTGATGTGTTCACATGCATTATATTGACTATATGCATATTATATCATGCATAGTACTAAGTTACATGTACTTTACAGCTGCAGGAGGTTCTCTGCTGTAGAAACACATGCCATGAAGCTCCCAGCATACAGTTTTTGTACTGATCTTAATGCCAGAAGAGGTTTGCACCCTGCTGTGTAGCTCTATGTGGTCTAACACTTCATGGCTCAGCTGCTGTGGTTTCTGCACGTTTCCACTTTGCAATAATACTTCTTAAATTTGATTGTGACATATCTAAGAGGGGAAAAAAATTCACAGACTGACTTGGTGCATCCTGTTACAGCACAATGCCCAAATTCAGTGGGGTCTTTGGAACAAACCATTCTAAAACAATTGTTGGTCTTTGACGTGTCAGTGGATTTTAATACTCATTAGTTTGTGCAGTGCAGTCCCCCAAAGACAAGGCAACTTATGATTTTCTTTCTGTATCACACACTTCACAGTATCCTGTGAAGTGTGATTGATCATGAGCCGGGTGAGCTGCTGAATTATTGACGTTCTGATTTTGTCTTTGCTACAGGCATCATCAAACACGGAGGAGAGAAGCCCAACATTATCCCGGCATATACTGAATTAGAGTTTTATTTGCGCGTCCCGTTGCTCAAAGACCTATGTGACCTGAAGGCTAAAGCTGAAGCTTGCTTCAGGGCAGCTGCCGGAGCAACCGGTTGCCAAGTATGTTTATGTAAAAGCGTCTTCAGTTTGCTTTCCTGTATGTTGGAGACATGTAGAAGCAGTCTATGTTGATACAGCAGTGCTAAAGAGTACTGCTGTTATATAACAATCCCCCTTTTTACCACATCGCCATAATTACTGTCCAAGTGCTGAACTTGTGTTACATAATTCATGATTATCTTCAGGCTCCTTTTCTCCTTCGTCTGCATGTGCTTCAGGCAGTTTACATTACTATGCATGCATGGCCAAATGTGCTGTTAAACATGACAGGCCAAATGTGCTATGGTCTTACATTTACTTGCATTTCCATTAGGTGGAGATCACCTTCCCAACCCCTACCTACTATAACATTCTACCTAATGCCACACTGGCAAGCATGTATGAAAGCAATGGAAAAGCTTTGGGAATTCACTTTCCAGAGCAGACAGCCAGCTTCTGCGGTAAGCATAAATGACAATATTATAAATCACTTCTGTCCCTGCTCTGTGCAAAAGAACTGTATATGACAAAATGTCTAACAGCAGAACTGTGATTTAGTGTTTTTTCAGCATTGTTGTTCACTGAATCGACACTGAACCACTATCACAGTGAATTCTAATCACCTGGCAGGTTCTACAGACTTTGGCAACGTGTCATTCATAGTCCCTGGTATTCATCCGTTTTTCTACATCTGCACTGATGCATTAAATCATACGGAGGAATACACCGAAGCAGCAGGTATTTTGGCACGTGGCTTTTGTGAACTGATGTTTTATAATTAAACCGAATCAGACTGTGATAAGTGAAATTTAGCCATCATCTCTTTCATGTTTACTCTGTGCTTTATATTTCTTACTCTGCCAGGAGCTGAAAAGGCCCAGTTGTACACCCTGAGGACAGCCAAGGCCCTGTCTATGACAGCTGTGGATGTAGTGTGCTGTCCTGATCTGCTTAAGAAAGTGAGAGACGACTTTAGACTGGCCAAACTGAAACAGAAGTGACTGGGTCCTTTTGACCCAGCGTTTTGTGTTTTCTATTAGTGTTATTGTTGGTTCTGTTCTTCCTCTGTTTAGTGTTTACTCTGTCCTGCCCATGTGTTCCTGTATTAAGTCCGCGTTTCTTAGTCTGTGTCCTTGCATGTGTAAGTTCCTGTTTTATTGTGAAGGTCTGCGTCTTATGTGAGTGTTTTCAGTTCGCCTCCCTAGTCTCGTCACGTTAATCACTCCCAGCTGTGTCCCTCACCTGTGTGTGATCTCCCTGTGTTCTCTGAGTGTTTTTAAGTCGTGTCTTCTGTCTTAGTCGTTGCTGGTTCGTCTGTGTTGTTCCCCTCCATGTTCTCGTGTATTCTCCCTGCATCTCTGTTTCTCGACTCAAGGTTTCAGGTTTGTTTTTGCGTAGCTTTTCCCAGTTTAGTTTATTCTTAGGTTTTGGTTTTCTTCCTCCTTGTCCCTGTTTGTTTCACCCTTTTGTTAATAAAGCTCGCTCACAACTTAAGCAGTCTGCATCTTGGGTCCGTTTTATATTCTCACACGGCCTGCCTCGGCACCCCGTGACAGTGATAGAACTCCCTCGTGACACTGAAATTAGAAATACATCTAGGAGAAATTATAAGGTTTAAATAACAACAAGTAGGCACTTTATATTTTTTTGCTAAAGATCCTTGAGCGTAAGAGGAAAAACCCCACAACAATCAGATGGTCCCCTATGTCCAGGCACTTGGTGACAGTGAGAAGGAGAAACTCCGTTTTAACAGGAAGAAACCTCCAGAAGACTCAATATCAGGGAGGAGCAGAATCAAAACTGGGAGAAAAAAAAGAGACCAAACTGAAAGCAAACGGTAGAAAGAAAAAAGAAATGTAATCGCATGCTGTAGTGCATCATTGGAACTCCTCCAGCAGCTTGAGCCTATTGCAGCTTAATTACAGGATGATTCAGGGTCACCTGATCCAGCCTTAAATATAAGCCTTATCAAAAAGAAGGTTTTAAGCTTAATCTCAAAAGTAGAGAGGGTGTCTGTCCCCCAAATTCAAACTGGGAGCCGGTTCCACAGAAGAGAGGCCTGAAAGCTGAAGACTCTGCCTCCCATTCTACATTTAAAACTCTATGAACCACAAGTCTCTGGTAGGACAATATGGTACTATGACTTCTTTAAGATATGAAGGACTTTGCATGTGAGGAGAGGGATTTTAAATTCAATCGTGAGTTTAACAGGGAACACATGAAGGCATCTAATATCTTTCTAGTCTGTGGTAATGGACAACATGAATTTACTGATGATGAGTTTGGCATACACTCACAGTTTTACACCACAAACCTCTAAATAAATCAACCCTAAATGTATTACTCTATCCACGGGTAGCCCTATTGTACTTGATTGCATGATCATACTACCTCTCTCTCAGTCATTGAGATTTCTAGGCGTACTTTTATCAGCTACACAGCTTGATAAAAAATCTTGGCTCTTCAGAGTGGGCCCAGATGTGGTGGAAAATCAGGTTATGGACATCTTTTTGATGCTTTATCCTTTTCTGCCAGCTTTGATGTGGTGATGCCTTTGTTCGCATTTTCTTTCACTAGATTAGAAGATGGTGCACAAAGTTTAAATTGACACCTTCGGGATGTTGCTTGGATCAAAAAAAACAACAAAAACATGCTTCAGCATATCCCACTCTCTCACTTTTCTGTGAGGAAAGCCTTAATGTAATTGTATATGTATATATCCTTTTACACACACGTGAGTGGTTAATGGCATTACATAATACGCAGTGTATATGATTTGTTTTAAATGCTCATCAGCACTCAGACATGTGCCAGAGCGAGAAGAAAGACCTTGGAGCTGTGAGCAACCCAGTGACTAATAACAGTAAAGACTTATCCTCCAGGACTGTTTAAATATACTGTGTAAGTGAGCAGAAAAATGTGATTAAAATAAAGGGATCAACTGTGTTCAAATGATCCAAAGTGTTGTGTTTTAGGTTTTAAGCATCTCTCTGTTTCTACGATGTTCAGCACTCAAGCTCCGATTTTCAGAAACCAAAACATTTATTAAACATCTTCCCATACATGACAGTTTTAAATACCTGTAATATTTTTTTTAAAATATCTTTTGCCTAACAAAGTATAAAGTTGTTTTTAAGCTGAAAAAGACGTTAAAACTAGCAACTAACAGGTCACAGCGAACCTCAAAGCCTCACAACACCAAACAGAGGAGATGAGCTTCAGTTGTATTTAAAAATAAAAAGAAGAAACATTAAAAAATAAAAAGAGTTAATATCATAGTCGGTGCATGGGACTTCTAAACATACATTTTTACATTTGTTGTTTTAATCGACTGCATTACTTTGCGTTTTTTACTCAACGTTGTCAAGTCACACAAACGGAGCGCAGTAGCTTGACATCAAAATAACTGCATTGATACAAATTTCACAAGAAAATTTAAGCTAAACTGAATCATATTAACATGCTGCAAAGAAAACGTGGAACTTCAAGAATAAGCTCTGAATTTGCCTTTTTTTTAAAAATAAAAACATTTACTTTCATTCAGATGTTTATTTGCTTTCGTGCAGAGTTGGGAGAGTGTGGTGATATCACTTTCATGTCTGCAGTAAATATGAAGGTCTAGCCAGGAGACGGCTGAGCTGAGCACACAAGACTGGGGAAAAGGGGGAAGCAGCTGGGCGAAATTTGCCAACTACCACCTCAAAGGCTGACTAATTAACAAGATGTAATCTGTTTTTTTAATCTTTATAAAAATTGACATTCTGTTGGGAATTTAATTGCCAGACTCTTTCTTGCCTCTGAGCGTTAGCTAGGCAGTCATACCGTTAGAAAAATAGTAGGACTTCTGAGTATTAGCTAAGCATTTATACCGGTAGAGAAATAGTAGCACTAATCCCCCTATAAAACCAGGCTTTTATGGTTGTTTCTGTATGGATTCAGTCAAAATATATAACTTGCTGTAGTTATTATAGAAATGCTGGACGGAAACAAGTACCTTGGCTGTTTAACCTGGTTAGGGTTTTTATGCTAAGCTAACTGGCTATTACTGGATTTAGCCATATATTTAATTACAAGTATGAGAGTGGTATCAAGTTTCTCGCCGCTATATAACAAACAAACATATTTCTCAACATGTTAAATTATACCTTTAAATATTTTTAGTCTCTTATTGATTGTCAGGTGTAGCTCATAAGAAGAGGAAAAAGGATCCATCTATTTGCTGGCAATGCTAGCCAATGTCAGTATGTTTTCAGTTCACACTTTCGGTGTTGAACGTGTGCTTGGAGTCACTGCATCTAGAACTAGAAGTAGTTAGCCTGAAGAGTGACACAAGTCCATGTACGTGCATCTCTGCGTCCTCAGGCGACAACAGCATCCAGACATCTTTCTGTCACCAGAACTATAGATACAGAACTATAGATACAGCAGAAACCAGAGAACTGATGAAGTGACTATCGATGACTGTCCTGTTAGTTGGTCGCTCATATTTCGGTGTTAAGTGGCTGGGTCAAGAAGGCAATGGTCACCAATCTGTTAGTGGTCCCCATGCATCTCATGCGCAGTTTCTCTGTCCCAAACACTTCAAGTGCAGCATCATCTTTCCTGAGCTGAGCCCCTGCTGTCCCAGCATGCACAAAACAGCATTTCATGCATCACAGGTTACAAGTAGATGGACCAGTAGATGATGTTAAAAAGGATGTAGGCTCCAGGAAAGACGACCCTTGAGTACTTGTCTATGGCATGGGTGTCTATCCAGATGTTCACGTAGCCTCTAGATGCCTTCACCTGGCCTGTGATCTGTGGGTCGTTCAGTGCCACTTGGGCCAAAATTCGTTCCTGGCGGCCCCCGTTTTCTGGCAACCCATAATTTCCTGTGATGTTGACATCTGTGGACCCATATCCAGTGATCTGGGGGTCGATCATCATTTCATCAGGGTTGCCAATGCCGCATGTACATGGAAGCTAGCGAAAAACACACGAAGAGTTATGAATTACAGTAGACTTTCTATCATTATAAATAAGTGAATTCCTCCTATATGTATGATTGTCTGTACACTCATGGCCTTTAAATAACTTTGGTAGGAAACATTTATGGAAGGATGTCTGTGCTGGAAATCTTCCTCGGGGTACGTGGGCAATTTGGCTCCATATGCTGCAGCAGTTGGCAGATGAAGAATACCAATATAGTTAAAGAGCTGTAGTCCCAGAAATAATTTGCCATAGCCTTGAGAGCAGCTTAAAGTAAGCCAGTTAAGAAAATATATCTGTTTATTGGAAATGCATATAAATTATTAAATCATGTTTTCATCAGTTTATAATTATTTTAATATGGAAAATATTTCAGTATAAAATTCAGGTCAGCCTAGACGAAACTATTAATACGTCTCGTAAATGTTTCCATTCTTGGTTTTATTAACTGTATTATTTGCAATAACCATGTACCAATAACAAGATTCAAATTAAGAAAAGTAGAGCATTTTCACAGATTGGTAGTACAATTAAAATTGAGATATATTAGGTATATAAACATATACACAAAGTGCATCTGTTGAAGGTTGTTACTTGTGCGGCTCTGTAACATTTCCAGCTGCTACTTTTGACACTAATCACTAGTCTGCAGTGCACGTTCAATGTCCATCAGTGTGTCAAAACAGAAACCCTTCATCTTGAATTTCAATTAGCATTTTGTGGAAGAGGAGGAAGTCTCAAGGAGCACTTTCTCCAGCAATGTCAATTGAAAAGTTGCGCACACTTATCTTTGGGCTCGAACATTATAGACTCTTCCTCTGAAAACAGCTGCTTGGTCTCTCAGACCCAGCTGTCATCGATATGATCCTCTAAGTGAAAGTCTGTTCATTTTGACACTGATGTTGTTCACATTTCGTGCCAGTTTAAGGTTCGTGGTGAAATTGCAAACTTGTGTCTGTATAATTTGTCAGAACAGACTTTTGCGAGTGACTAAAAACAACTATGCTGGAAACAGCTTTGCTCTTTAAGGTATGATTGGCCAAATGTAAATAATTTTTTTGTATGAGCAGAGCATTTTGATCACTTCTTGTAAGCAATGACATATTAGATTCCCTTATTTATGGTCATGATGATAATGTTTTGAAATGCTCAGTTAATAAAGTAATTCCAGTACAATGTGAGGTAATATACAAACCTGAGATTTACGACATGGCCAAAAGCTTCAAATGAAAATTTTAGAACTACAAAGGGAAAAAATGTACTGTACCAAAAATATGACGTACTGTGGAAATTCGAAAATTAGAAATTAGAATGAATATCAAACAGGTAAGCAGTTACAGCGCCTAACCTGTCATAAAACAAGAAAACACATATTTTAGAATTCTGTAAAAAACTTGTTTAAAACTAAAAATTTTATTATTATTTATCAGTTAAGTAACAAATGTTTTATTCCCAAATCTGAGCCAGCACACAAGACTTTGATCAAGTATAATATTTTTAAAAACTAATAGTTCTGTTCAGGAAATGCAAGCAAAATAAGTAATTTGAGATTCTAATTAAAAAAATAATAGTGTGCTTTATTACTCTAAATTTGAAAATGAATGGATGACTAAAATAATTATATTTTAGCCTTAACCACTAAATACATAAAAAAAATAAACCTTACATCGGGCAGTGGACAAACAAATTTGTTAAGTACTGTTTTAGGTTGTAGCTTTCACAGCTTATCCAAAAAAAGAAAAGAAAAATCAGATATTTGCATCCTTACACTACTTCTAAAACTAAAAAAATGTGTCAGAATAAAACATGCTGCTGCATAAGTCATTACACAGATGTGGTGAAGATAAAGTATCTGTGTAAAATTTGTCAGTGTGAGCCATTAAAAAAAAATCAAAAGTTAAGTCTGTTCTTAACCAGAGGCAAAGTCAGAGGAGGAAAAAAACATGAAAGGAACACTTACTCTCTCCCTCAGCTTCCTCTCTTTCCTCTCCTGTACGGTGGAGAGGTAGTTCACCGCTGCGTACTCTATCACCGAAAGGAAGACAAAGACAAAACTGACCCAGAGGTAAATGTCCACAGCTTTGATGTAGGAGACCCGAGGCATCGAAGCATTGACCCCGGTGATGATGGTGGACATGGTCAGCACGGTTGTGATGCCTGAAGGGAATCGAACAAAGTTTAGTCACAGCTGTGTTGCTATTTAGTCTCCCACAGACTAAATAGCTCAGAAATGGCTACATTTGGGGTGTAATAAATCAGAATCTTTATGTTCACTATAGACTTTGGTGAGATTCCACTAATAGCTTCCACCTACTCACTGTGAAAGCTGATGGGAAACTGGGGGTCTGGACCCCCTGAAAGGATTTGAGATGATTAGTGATGAGGGTAAGGAAAAAATGCACTAAATGTCTTCCCTAAAATTTTTCCACTAGTAAGATTTGTCCCAGCTCAGATAATTATTGCATAATACTGTGAAATGTACGATGATTCATGCTTTTCCTAGGCTGAATTCTAATAACCCAGCTCGTGTCAGTCTTTTCTGCTAGCACCACTTGGCTTAAATTGGGGGTTTTGAATCAAACGACTGTCGGATGGATTGCCAAGTCAGCGCTAAACTCCCTGTATAACTTCACTATCAGCTAAAGATTCAGAGTCTTTAGTTTCTTAATAAATTCTTCTTGTGTTGGTAGCTGGTTAGCTAGCCTTACCATGCTAACACGCATAGTGATAATGATACGCAGTGTTTAGCCTAGTGTTTTCTAGCATAGCTGATAACTCTTTGCTTCAAGAATGAAATGGAAATTTTACTTATGTGGTACATTTGCCACTCTCACTGTGCTTTAGATAGAAAGAAGTACCCACGTATAGTTTAGAACCTAGCATGCAGATGTAGATGATGGAGCGAGATGGAGGCAGATGACCTGCTGTGGCAAGCCCTAATGGGAACAGCTGAAAGAAGAGGAATGATCCTAACATGCATGGCTTTGGATTGTGGGAAGAAACTGGAAAGCACCAGTAGAAAACCCACTAGGAGACGGGGAGCATGGGGAACACGCGAGCTTCACAAGCCCCAGCCAGCCAAGAGGTTCAAACAAAGACGCTTCTTCTATTATTTAACAGTGCCAACCACAGCATATACAGTACTATGCAAAAGTTTGGCTCATTGATTATTTTGCTAGGAAAATGAGAAATAGATATAGTAATTTATTGAAATATGCAAACATACATGGGAACATGGCTGCAGACACTTATTGTTCTACCTCTTTCCTGATCTCTGTACACTGACAAAGATTTGATCCAAAAAATGTAAATTTAGATTCATCACTACATAAGACCTGTTGCCACTGATTTTTAGTCCACTTTTGATCCACTTTAGTCCGTTGTGTAATTTGCTATACCTCAGCATTTTCTCATTGTTTACCTTCCTTAAGAATTTTTGACAGAAACTCTTCCACTGAGATTATTTCTCATTAAGCTTTAGCAATAGTTCACGTGTCACATCTTTGCAGGATATTTCTTCTGTATTTCCATATTTCTTTCCCATATTTCTTTTCTGTTGACTTTCAGATAGTGTTCATCTGCTGTAGATAGCTTTTTAGGCCTTTCACGTCTTCTTTTCTCTCCTCACATTTTTTAAGGACACACTGCACATAATGCCAAGGTCAGCCAAGTTTCCACCAGTTAGTTCCTTGGGAAAGACTTGGTTGGTGCACAAGATACTATTCAATGCATGTCAAGCTGTCTTATCTTATGGAGATTTTTCAAAGGCTCGGTTAAATAAATGGGAACAAATGTGTTTTTGCTGCTAGTAACAACGTGCCTGAAGATATAAAACTGGTCATTGTAAAGCAGCTCAACAAACAACAAAACATTCCTCTGAAAATGTTCAAACACAAGGAATTTAAAAAAAATGTCCCAAGTGCTCAAGAGAGTTACGAGAAAGTCTGACTCGTTTGAAGCAAAAAATAAAGAAAGGAAAGGTGGCTCAAGTCTTTTGCACAGCACTATAAACATGAAAAAAACCCCAAAACAACCCCACATATTGATTTACTTCATCGTTCATTTTTGAGCTTTATCTCACTCGGTGGTAATATGGAAAGAAATGAAGATAATTTCATTGGATTTCTGGAATGATCTAAATTACTGTATTAATATATAATCTAGTGTGTTCATTTGTATTTTGCAGTTTATTAGGTGCTGTTCATTGTTCTTTATTTTATGTCAGTTTAAATAATCAGTGTCATAAATGTGGGATAGATCTCAGTATTTTTCATGTCTAATTAAAATAAAAGTAAGGTAAAATAATAGTTGATTTAAGTAGGGCGGCGTACCTAGCGGTACCCTGGCGGGGACAGCCCTTCGGTCAATCCAGAACGACACCCAGGAGAGCATAACCATGAGAGTAGCAGGGAAGTAAGTCTGCAGCAGGAAGAAGAATATGTGGCGCCGCAGGGTGAAGTGGATGTACAAACGATTGTACCAGCCTAGGAAGAAGAAATATCACCATTATTCACACATTGTCATACGCTGGCTGGCATATATACCATATCAGCACTTTAAGCAGAGGTTCTCAGCTATTCTGGCAAAGAATGATAGGACACCAAATCCCTTTTATGCTTCAGGTTGCTCTGAAAAGTGACATATGATAATCAAAAGGCTGCCAGGCTCTCAGTGTGGCTTTCTAGCAGCATGCAAATAGTTGGCAGGAGTCTGATTCATTTTGTTTCGTAGTAAGGATAAAATATTAGTGTAGTCGTTTTGGTTTATAATTCAACGGACACCGTTTTCTTGTATGGAAGATTTGATCCTTTAGCTGAAAAAGACTTACAAAGGAAAATTAGAATTATTGAAATTTTAATTCAATTGTGATTTAGTTTTGCATGCATTACGCGCGCGTTTGTCGCATTTACATAATCGGTTGGATTTCGGTGTCTGACTTAGAAGTAGGTGGGTTGTGGATTACGGTACCTGTGCTGCTGTAGAAAGCCAGCTTGGTGGTGGTGTGAAATTTCTGGATGAGGAACTGGGACAGAGATATTCTGTCGTCTGTGTTCAGGGATTCGTTTCCTTTCTTCCAGTAAAGCATCAGGTCGTCATCTGTGTACGCATCTGCAGAGGAAATGTGAACAAACCAAATCAGGACAGATAACGTAGGTCCGAAGGAAAAAACCGAAGAAACACGACAAAAGTGCCGAATCCAAAGCCCCAGTAGCTTCTCGTAGATGCTGAGAGTTTCAATTACAATCCTAGGACTTTCCCAGACTTAGGACTGGTGAAGTTATGGGAAAAGAATTAGAAAATGAAGAGAAAAGATTCCCAGAGAAAATAAGAGGTATGTCTGACAAACATGTTTGGCCAGATTCTGTTCAATTCACTCACAGCTCTCAATCTCCAGCGAGCAGGTTTGGGTGTCCAGGGGAAAGCGGCTGAGATCCATGTTGCACATAGCAGTGACTGTGACTCTGCAGGGAAAACAGGCAGGACACATCAGAGGAGCAGGAATGTCAGCTTCAAAAATCTCCTTATGCAGGTTTCTAAAGTTCAAACTCAGGCTGGTTCTTTTATGCATCGTAATGAGACTCTGACTTGACGTGTCCCTTTTATATAGCCGTTTTTGAAAGAGCATTATTAAAGATGTTTTTTTTTCCAGGTCCCTTCTTATACAGCAGGGGTGTCAAACTCAAATACACAATGGGCCAAAATTCAAAACTGGAACAAAGTCGCGGGCTAACGTTAATATTTATTGAAATATATTTATTCCTCCAGATATAAGAATGAATCTTTTCTTATGGACTCAAACACGTTTTGCTGGAAAGCTGAATATGGAACAAGCAAAGCTTAATACTAAACAATATATATATTACCTGTATAACACCAGTAGGCCAGCTCTAATAGTAATTTGGTATGGCTTCGTAGGCCAAATGTAATTAGGCTGCGGGCCAAATTTGGACACCTATGTTATACAGTCTCCCACTGGAGGGTTGTTTGAGTTCTATCCACTCTCACACTTGTTTTCTCCAATTTTAATCAAGTGTCCTTATGCCACAGCGTCACTGGAACACAAACGGGTTTAGAAATGACTTTCCTGATTGAATAGAGGTTAAAAAATGACTTGACTTCTCCTCTCCACTCTGCCACGCTGATTAGAATGATCAAATGCTGTTCCACGAAATGCTGATGGACCTGCTGTGATGTTCCACACAGGAAATCAAAGGCGACCTTTTTAGAGATTTTTGCATGGTTGTGTGTTTTAAGGTCGTTTTGTTTCTCTCTTTTTGGAATGAAACCTTTTTATAGGGTGGTTTTATGTGGTGGTTTTCATAATTTTCATTAAGCCTTCCTTTCACTGTGCCTATTAAAGATAAAGTGCTTGCGAAAAGCACTTTCAGGGTTAAAAGCTCTCAGAGTGAGCGAGTCTTTCTTTGCCATGTTAAGACACGCAGTGCGGTTTACCTGAGACTGTAGAGCACATTGCCGTCAGGATAAACCCTCAGCATGACGTTGTCGGTGGTGGTGTCGTGGATGAAAGAGCGCTTAGAGTGAACAAAGAACATGTCAGGAACCCAAATTTTCTTCACCAGGCGACTGTCGAAGGTCATGCTCTGGTTGTTGGTGCTTGGAAAGGAAAGCCGCTCGTCCTTCCAGTAATGACGCAGGTACAGCGTCATGGTAAAGTCCTGCAAGGGAGAAAGAAACGAGAGTGTTATAAAGTACTCGGATCTTCACTTTATTATAAACTATATGTCGTGCTTTGCAAAAAAAAGTCTAGCATTCGCAATCTATCTTGTGTCCCCTGGGAAAAAGTAAGTTATGATGCTGTTTGACTGATAATAATGACGATCAGTGTGTTGGTCACTACTTTATGGACAGTTTACGTGACCTTTATGTTTCCCAACATAAAGGTCACAAAATAAATTCATGGACTCTTGAGTTAAAATGAAAAAGTGAGTATTCATTTAATTTGTGCCTACTTTTATCATCTCACCTGCCTTCATCAAACTCAGTAAAACTTCCTTAAACAGTTAAGAAATGGCAAGTTCTAATACTGCAGTAATTAAGGTGTAATTAAGGCTTATGTTCATATGTTTGAGTAGAAAACAATTCTAAAGAAGAAGAGAGAATTGTAGAGGGTTTAGATATGAGAATGGCACAATGTAATGGTATGCTTTTAATGTTATTCTAAAGGAACAGCAATATTCACACTCATGAGGTTGATGAGGTGTTGCTAGTGTTCCTCATCGCCATCTATGACAAAAGAGAAGTGCTAAAGCTGCTCAAACACTGGCTCAGTAGTTGTGATGAGAGTCATTAACGCTCACGTCACCCAGGAAATACTCAGCCGTGGCATAGACTGCTATTCTTTTTTAAACTCCTGACGAGACTAGCGTGTGAAAAATAGGACGTGTTAACAAGATTAAAAGTTTTAAATAACAGCACTGCAATATTTCTCCTTGAAATTATGCTGCCAAGAAACAGAAAGCAGCAAAAAATATTTAATAATAATGGATTGCATTTATATAGCACTTTTCGAGACCCTCCAAGCGCTTTACAGTTCCACTATTCATTCACTCACACATTCACACACTGGTGGAGGCAGCTACAGTTGTAGCCACAGACTGGGTGAAGCGAGGCTGCCATATCGCGCCATCGGCCCCTTTTTCCATTACCAGTATGTGGTATGTGATCTGTATTGCCCAAGGACACAACAACCAAGACAGACAGAGCTGGGGAACGAACCGGCGACCTTTCAGTTACAAGATGAGCTTCCCAACCCCCTGAACCATGGCCATGAATAAAAATAAGTCTGCTCTTATGGAAGACGAACAGTAGTTGTTTTCCTCTGCAAAGACAGGGGCCAAAGTGCACCTACCTTAAAACTGCACTCGGTATAACAGCTGAGCACTGCATTGTGCAGCATCACGCTTACCATGTCCACCTCTGAGATGGTATCCAGACTTTCAACCTGAACATCTACACCAACAGGAATTGGAGGACCTGAAGGAAAATGGCATCATATAAGAAATGCATTAGTGCTGACATTATTTTTCAGCAAGCAAAAAGTAAAGATGACTTACTACAAGCAAAAAGTCCTAAAGAAAAATGAATGCACTAATCGAAATAGGCAAGGACATGGTTTGTTTTTTCTGCCTGCTTATGGATGTGACAGCACCCACCACCATTTTTTTATTTATTGCAGAAACGCAGCTTCTGACAGGAACCGTGATCTCACACACACAGAGCAGCCGCTCATGACATGATGGTTACAGTTTGGCTCCGATTTCTTCTTTTGACCTATTTCAGCCTTTGTACTCTGCATCACCACGATCATCCTCCACCAGCGCACAGATACAATCAGGTCATAATAACGGCTCAAAGCGGATCCGGCGGTGAGTAAAATACAGCGCTAGCTTTCCCTTCTAGATGTACCTGCTGGTTAAACTCGGACACCGCCAAAAAGGATTCAGCGAGGGGTCATCTGGTGTTGTTTTCAGCAGCAGCAGATTGTTGTGTGATTAAAAGCGGTCTGACAAAAAAAACAGCACGTGGCTTCCTTCTTCTTTTTTTAATTTATTTACTTTTTTGGTTAAATAGGGCACTCTCATATTATCTCGACAGACAGATGCATAAAGAGAGCTAAAAAAGACATAAAAACATTACTACTTAGTGTATTTTCTGAAACAAAAGCCTGTGTGCCTTTATTTCAACATAATCCTAAAGAAAGCTGACATCAAATCCCTCTAACACGCAGCGAAGCGAAAGGAAATGTGTTAACACTCTGGTGTTGTGAAGCACTGAACTGGAAAAGGAAACTCTCGCACAACTTGAAAGGAGGTTGTCAGTCAAGAGCTTAACGCTCACAAGGAAGCCGCACAGATCGTATTCAGCTGCACTTGATCCACAAGGATGCTAATGTTATCTCTTTTTCTTTCCTAATTAATTAAGAGCTTCTGACCTCCAAACGCTGGCCTCATGGTGAAATCGTGATCGTCTATTCTCAGGAGCTGCTCGGATTTTGTCATCAGAGATTTTGTCATGTCTGGGCTTCGCTTGTAAATTGGGCTGGAAAAAATAATAAATGCACAATAAACATGTGGTTACACAGATTTGAATGCTGAATATAACCCAGAAAAGACTTGTACAACTTACCTTCCAGTTTTGTGACCTCCTCCGCCATCCATCCTGGCATCTCTTCGCAACCTGTTCCATTAAAATAGATATGCAAATGAGACCACCTTACAACGCAGCAGAGCTTTAATCAAAGATATTGTGATGCTTTCTTTTGTTTTACCTTAGAAATTCAACCTTTTCCTTTTTTTGTTGGTTGTAAATTCACATATTTATTTGAATACACTGAGGAATGCTTCGTGGCGTTTCTGTAGGTTACTTTCGAATACTATTTTTTATTTAGAGTCTGGGATGATCAAAGGCCAAATACAGCAGAAACTGTGTTTGAATATTGAATACCAAGAGGCAGACAAGCAGAAAAGCACCCTGGGTATATTTTTCTAGATTTGCTTTTTAATCGTGTGGAGATTTTTTAAGGTTTGTCTGTCGTAAATAACTGCTTTTAAATATGGGTGACAAAGAAAAACAAAACATTTCGCCTTGGTGTCTGTAAAAATGAATTTCGGCTCACTTTTTTTTTTTTACAGATTAAAAAAAAATAACGAGCCAATAATGAAAACCATCTGTCCCTGCACCCCACCCCCCAGCCTAAATCTATGCTGCTCTCACGTGTTGTTTTGAACATTCTCCATTCCTAAGGAGATGTAGTACATCCGGTTACGTCAGGCACATTTCATCCACAAATCACATGAGGGCAAATAATGCCCATCACATCCAATTTAGAGCAATCCAGCTCTTTTCTGGTGTCACTTTTCAAGAGGGCTGCCTCTGTATAAATGTCTTTCAGGCAGCATATTCAGTCCGCACAAACACACACACACAGCGAGAGAATGATAAACTCCAAAAAAGCATAAAATGGATTAATAGAGTAGAGCATGCTGTGACAGACAGAGAGCCAAATCCCTGTGACAACTACAGACGTGCATTAAGGAAATACCACAGAGGAAGAGAGAGAGAGATGGAGGAGAAACACAAAGCAGAGAGAGCACAAGAGCAAAATGAAACAGTGAGAAGAGGGTTTCCATCGCTGCTGGCTCCAGCGCTTTCATGGGCAACGGGTGCTGGGCCCTCCTCGTGTGCGTCTATCCAGCAGCTGGTTCCTAATCCTCTTGGCAGAAATGCCTCTCCAATCCTTTCTCTGCCTGCCTACGCCACACAGCCTGTCTGCACACTGCTCTGCTCTATGGCCCCACATTGTTTGCTTTTTCAAATGTTTTTCTTTTTATGTTTTCTGCCGCCGCGGGCTCGTGTACGCACGTCACTGCAGAGTCTGCATGAGGGTTAATGGGCCATATTTGCGTGGCGGTCGATCTGGACACATTTATGTATGCCGGTCCACGAGGGCAGAAAGCAGAACGAAACATTAAAGTAAAGAAGAGGGCGTTCAAAGTTTATAGAACGATTCGTTCATTTACATTTGAAAAAAAGCTTCACAACAACTACTGAACATTTGCTGCTAACGTCACAGAAATGAACCGCTTTACTCTTGGCTAATAGGCTAATTTGCTAACAGTTATGCACGTATAAGCTGAATTTCTAGAATATTAAAACATTTTTAAAAAAGCCCAACCAGTCAGCTTTAACCAAGCATGTAGCAACTAAATTTTGTCTTTGTGCGGCAAGGAGTGATTCTTTTTTCTCATTAAATTTTTTCTTTCCAAGGAATCATCAGAGCGACCATTAAAATTGATCCTTTAAACCTCATGAAGGTTTTTCCTCAGATCTTTTCTTATGTTGGGACTCTGCTGTCCTACACAAATCCTCCCCCCTCTCCCCAACCCGCAGCTCATCCTCCTCAAGGCGGCGAGTGAAGAAAGTAAAACAGTTAACACTACCCCCACAGCCCACGCCAGCAGCGCACAGACGCTTCTGCGATTTCACACTCAAGAGAAGAGGAGTGGAGTGATGAGAAACACAGGGAGAAAGGGTTTGATTTCTAAATACGCATATGTGATCCCCCTCCCCACACCCCCCCATGCTAGAAGAGAAATGAGAGATTTACATTTGATTTGTATTCACAGGCTGTGCATGTCAGAGCAGAGAGAGGACTGATGTGAGAGGACTTTTAACAAGTTCGGGAAGAAAACAACAAACAGCGAAACACAGATGTGATAAAGAAGACGACACTGGCATTTAAAGATTATGCAGCGGCTTTGAGCCAGTTGTGCTTCCTGTCTTTTTCCAGATTTTCCACAGACGATTACGATTGTGCTCCTCTTGTGCTTAATGATCTTCTTAATCATCTCGGGGCTCAGAGGATCACTTTAAATGACTGGAATTTCATCGTGGCTTGTTTACATCTAAAGAGGCAGCAGACACTGCCTCCAATAGCATCACACACGCTCGCTTACTATCCTTTAAACCTAAGGACTACTAGGTGTATCAAAGACCAGCAGATACATCACGTCAAGCTTGTTTATTTCACTCAGTTTTAATGGAGAGCCGATTGTTGTTTGGCATCAGCTCTGATCTATAAATATCACCAGTTATAGCATGAAAAATTGATACTGTATCTAAAGGCTGGGGGATTATGGTTTGATAGGCTTTGTTGAAAATATTAAGTGGATGCAAATCATTCAACGCTGATAGCGTACAGTTTTGCACTTTGCCGCTTGGTTAAATCTTATCTTTACCAGAGATTAAAGCAAATACAGTTTCTCAGCTGGGGCAGCTCTAGGCTAAAGTTAAATTATTTGCATATATTCTACAAGAAAAGCATTTATTTGGAAAAGCTACACTGGAACAGGCCAATCTGCACTGGTTATTTATGGGGAAAAGTGCATTTATTTGCAAAAATGTCAGGGTTGTGCGCTGATCAGAGTCTTGCTTTCATTGGGTTTTAACACCATCTGAAAGTGTGTAAATAATCTTGTAGTAGAGCTGATAGAATGACTTAATCAACCGATATCATAATTTCAATAATTATTAATATTCTAGCCAAAGGTCTTTAACATATTCAGCTTCAAAATGTGTTACGAAATCTCACGAAATAGCAAACTGAGTATTTTTTCTGCTACTGAGTGGGCTGTTGGCATATTTCACCAAAGAAGCCACTTGAAGATATAATCACACTCTGCTCATTTGAAACACTTTTGCCGGAAATTTAAACTGTTGCTTTTCAAATACATGACGAACATATTTCAGAATTTTGATACAATCTCTTTTTTTTTGTGCTTTCATTTGAAATTAATGAGTGAAAAAAAAATGGTAACATTTTGTCAAAGTGTATGATACTTTGTTTATTTCCTACCAATGCGATTCAGTCCAGTTCAAGTGTATCTGAAGTGTAATAAACACCTGTACCTCTATATTTGCATACTGATAAAAACATGAAATATTCTCAGTGGAGCTAAACCAACATGTGAATTAATCAGGTACTTCGCTGACAGGTTTATAATCTCCAAGTATTGCCAAAATTAATTACTTTTTTTTCCAGGTCATTCTTTCATTTCTTCATTTTGGTCATTTCTTTAATTGTTACTTAGAGCCTTACTTTGTCTGTAAAAAATCTTTAAAATTATATTCTTTTTGATAACATTAAGATATTCTGCTTTCTAAATACCTGACATCGGATTGGAAACTACATTCAAAGATTAAAAGATCAACCTCCTGTGGCTCAATTTTGATTTTAGTGTTTATGTTTTGTAGTGTGAAGGTCACCTTTCTTCAGCTATGCTACACAGTCAAACTGCAAAAAACAAAAAAAAATCCCTGCCGTTTAAATCACTGATGTCAGAGCCTGTTTGATCAATACTGTGCAGAAATGAAGCGACTATATTGACTCCCACATCTAGTTCAGTCCTAAAAAAAAAGGTGGTAGTGGGGTGGAGAGTGGGGGGTAAAAGTCTAATCCAATAGGTGCATTGACAAGGCAGCAATTAGCCTAAATAATCACCTGAAAATGAAATTGACTACAACTGCTGCCGGTAGGGAAAAACGGTCATTAACTGATCTGCAGCATTTGCGGGGCAAGAGAACACAGCATTCACCAACAATACATAAATAGATGTGGGGATTTAGGTCTCCCACTCTATCCTCTCTCCAATCTGCTGTCTGAAAAAAAAAAATCTATTTTCAAAGGGGGGAGGGAGCGGCACAGGTGACACAGGAAACAGTGGACAACACTGAGTGCACCTAAAACAAAAGAAAAATGAACTAGAATAAAATGAAGTTCTTAATGAAAAACTAGAAACTTCTGCAGATCAGTTTCTGTGCACATCTTCCAATAAATGATTCAGTTGAATCCTGCTGAGGCAATGCAATCAGTTTTTTAAAAAGCCCTATATATTCAACACCTTGTTGCTGTTACCTGCTTTGTTTGTAGGTTTCCAGCTTGTGACCTCTCGACTGAACCATCTTCCCAGCTGCGCCCGCCAGCCAAACACAGAAGAGCACAAACGCCGCATCCACCTGCATGGTTCACATTCCCCAGAGGACGGACCTCTCCTGTCAATCAGAATCCACTCCCCTCCTGGGTTCGGAGCACTCTGCCTTCCTGATACATTCCCTTCTCCAGCGCCTGAGCCGATAAGGAGGAGAAAAACAGCAAGAGAAGCAGCGGCGGCGACAGCAGCACACTGGGCTATTCTACGGCCTGAGTAGAAAACATCCTACGGTGCTTAATCTGCACAGTGGGAAAAGCAATTTTGACTAAACCCATAAATCCTTGAGCGTCAGATGGTACAGATTTGATCCCTCCAGCGGCGGATGTGCCTGCCTCTCTGTGCTCTGCTGCTCTCAGATACCCTGCACTCTGATGTGCTCTACTCCACTTTGCACCGCCCAGAAACACCAATTCTCACAGTGATGCAGTGTGCTCATTTGTAAGGTCAAGCTTCAGAGATACAGAGGCATAGAAGCTGAGAATGAAGAAGCTCTGAGGCTTACCAGCTCCTTCTGGTGCTGGAGTCTGATTTTGACACTTTTCCAAAAATGCATTTCTGCTTGATGCTTTTTGCAGGATTTTATGAGGTTCCATGACGGGTGAGTGATTATCTTCCATCCTGCTGTGGTGTAATATATATATATATATATA